CAATCATCACTTTCTTCTGCACTTAAAAAGGTGCAACTTTACAAAATCCTTATATTAAGTATATATCTCACAGAGAAAACTAGAAAGAAACAAATTACAACTAGAGGTTTGAAAAAAGATGAGAGGGAGAGGGGAAAACATTTTGGAATCGCAAAGCAAGAAACTGCAGAATTAGATTATGACCTATTGGGCAACTGGAAGTTTTATTTATGAGGAAATTACATATAAACATGTGTTTGTTTTCCAATTCAAAAATCAGGTATTAATTAAATTATTAATAATATTATAAAATTTACCCACCTCAACCCCACGACAAACCCTAAATTATTTCCATCACCGCTGTCATATACTCAAATTCCACCACCACCTCTCCATCCTCAACCCCAAACCCATTTTGTCACAACCATCCACCCCTTCCCCCAACACTGTAGCTGCGCGAGGCACCGCCTCTATAGGTAGAGATGCGCATCTACAAGTTCTTCGACGGAAGGGGACACGTGGAGGTTAGGAGTAGGTTCAACATGGTGAATTGCCTCCGCTACCATAGGCTCCTGTACCGCATCTGAGATTCGAAGCCAGAATTGGGCCCGTGATCTCAAATCTGAAAACATTTTGTCCAAAGCTGGCGCTCATATCTATGTGTGGCACTCAGTTTGCGCTGCTGCAACTAGTTCACCGCCGAAAGTGAAATGGTCGGTGGTGTTTGTGGGTTGTTAAGGCTATGTCTGTATTACTAGCGGTGGGGCCGTGTTGATGATTGTAGTGCTATTAGATGTGTTGGCGATGGTGGTTAGAAGTGGTCATGGCGGCGGTAGTGTTGGTGGTGGTGATATGTGACCAACTATTTGCTTAATTTGTGACCAGCTATTTAATTGAAATTGAAAATTTGATAATTAGTGATCAACTAATTTGAAAATCTGTGACCTACAAATAAACCGACCTATAAATTTATTGATTTTTGATCTATAAATTTTTTTTATTGTGATCATGAAATAATATGCGATCAATTAATTTGATAATATGTTATCAATAAATAAGTTGTGATCTATAA